GTTTCAGCCTTTGTCAGACAGGGAGTTCATTCATATAAGAGCTGCGCTTGTAAAAAGAATCAAACGCGACTTATTTGGGAAGCTGGCCTGGGGGAACGGATATTCATTGTTTTCCACGGAACACGTGCTTATGTTCATTCCTGACTTGTCAGCGCATGTGCTTTGCAAGGTTTCCACAAATCGTATGATGGACGCATACTGCATCATACTGCACTGCATGAGCGTACCAACCACATGCATATTTCAGATCGAACCAGCAGTGTTTCTGCAGTATCTAGCCATGGCGCATGGTTGGGATAAGCTCTTAAAAGAGCTGCAAGGTCTACATGACTTCATCGAATCGCAGAAAGCTGTGTGTGATAAGAGTCAGGTTCATTCCATGCTAGAGGCTCATGCCAAACAAATCACAAGCAGAACTCTGACGTGCTCCGCTGACGAAGCAAGGACCTTCACATCCATGGTCTCGAAAGGCCCTTGGACTGACGATCAGAAGGCTTCACTAGGCAGTTGGGCCGCTGAACAACTTCTCAACAGCAGCCCTGGTGGAAAAACAAAACGCCGAGAGACGCAGTGCATCACAACCTTTGCTCACCACTTCTCCGTCAAGGACTGTGAGGTCTTGGCTGACCAGGAAGCCTCACTGTCCTGCAAGCTAGAATGTAGCTGGACAGCAAGTATAGTTGCTTCATAGTTGTTCAGGATATCATGCCATAGTAGTAGGAACTTGGAATGCTGAACATGTTGGATCCGCTCTGTTTTCTTAAATTCTTGTCCTGGACCCACCAAACCTCATGTGATGACTAAACATGTCGTAACAACCTGGTATCTTTGCATCTCTTTCAGCCAGATTTTCTGAGGCATTGCGCTTCGTTTGGTGAAGGTAGGGTTGCATCTCCCTCATGAAAGCACGTGGCGAGTCGTTCTCCAGGCAGCTCAAGTAGCTGGTCTCCAAGTGGGCGATGTCAAGTCTCAGGTGAGCATTGTGAAGGAGTTGAAGCGTTTAGTGCATAGGAAGCAGGTGATCGTCCAAACTCACTTGACCACTTTTCCAGTGAAACCCACTGAGCTTCAGTGGTTTGACCGTGCGTACCAAGACAGTCCTCCAAAACCTTTAGATGAACAAGCATGCGTGATGATGAGCGTGACTTTGCGGAACAGCAAGGCTGAGGTGAAGGATCAAAACCCCAAGGCACTCTCCTTGCATGCGCATAGTGACACTCCACAGCAGTCCATGGACGCGAACATGAATATGATGATGAAAATGTGGCAAATGTTCAATGCCTTTGCATCTGTGAAGTCGGATGCCACTGGCGCTGCCGGTGCGTTCGCTGATATCAACTTGAGGCCCACGAAGCGCCAGAAGGCACTTGGTGATGCACCTGCGCCTGCTGCTCAGTTGGCACTCACTGATGGCGACGCTACTGCAAGGGGCTCAAGCACAGATGTCAAGGATCCCTCAGCTCCGGCAGAGGCTCAGCCACCAGCTCCGGCACACACTGAGCCTCCTATAGACCCACCTGCTCCAAACCCACCGCCAGCGTCCATGGTAGAGCCTCAGCCTCATGCAGTGTTGTTGGATTTACCTGACCCATCTTCTCCAGTCATGAAGAAGCCAGCTGCTGCTAAAGAAGCAGCAGCCAAGCCTAAACCCAAAGCTGCCCCCAAGGGGAAGCCATCGCCCAAAGCGAACAGCAAGGGCAGCAAGGGCAGCAAGGGCAAATCTAAGGGTCAGAAGGAGAAGACTATCATCAAGTGCTCCCATGGCTGGACATTGGAGATTCGTCACCGTGAGTCTGGCCAGAAACACAAACACTATAAGGCGCCCGATGGTAGCATGTTCCGGATCCTTGCAGATGCACAGGCTTATGGATTTCCTGGTGAACCTTGATCGTGATCAGTAGAAAGCGCGCGTGCTGTAATGTAAAAAGCGTGCGTGCTGTAAGATGACAAATGTGTTGGTGCTGCTGACCTCGCGATTGTTTTGACGTCGTTCCGCTTTTCATGACAGTGCTGAGTACATTGTTGAGGAAACAGTTGGAGTCAAGTCAAAGATTCTTTGTTTGGTTTGTGCTTTTCAGGTTGGGATCAATATCAAGTGTTTCGCTTTGCTCAACTGAACCATGTGACAGAACATGACATTCAAGCAAAGTTGGAAATGATTTGAAATCAGGAATCAGGGAACTTAAAGTGAAGCGTGGGTACAATATATATATATATAAATATATATATATATACAATGCGTATATGATCAGCTCTTCGATGTGTGTCGCCACTATAGTTCCACAGTCATGTCAGCGTATACTTTTGCTAGCGCATGTGGTACAGTATATACCGTTTTGCGGCAGCCATCATGGTGTTGGACATAGCTGCCCTTGGCAGAAAGTCTTTCATAAGCCAAAATGCACTCAGCGAGGTGTTGAAGGCTGTGAAACAGAGCGGTGAATTACCGGGTGAGACCAGCAAGTCTACTGTAAAGAGGCGAAGAGAAGAAGCATGCCAGGCGGAGACGCCACATGGCACTTTGCTTCAGACAGTCAAAGTTGATTTGACAGATGGGTCAAAAATGGATTTGCCCTACTGTCATCCCGCAGCCATGCTTTACCACACGTGCACCAAGAGCCGTCGACTGCAGCAACTTCTGACTAAAGCTTTGGAGCATCATGGAAACAGTTTCGCTGAGCCTTTCAGGCTCGTAGTCTACTTAGACGAAATCTCACCAGGTAATCAATTGAAAATCAACAATCGAAGGAAGCTATGGGCAATTTACTACTCCGTGGTGCAATTCGGAGGCTATGAACTTTCTCAGGAGGACTCCTGGTTCGTTCTGACTTGCATCAGAAGTGAGACTGTTTCCATGATGGAGGGTGGTCTGTCACACCTCTTCCTTCAGTGCTTGAGATTGTTCTCGCTTCCGAATGGTAGCTTGGAAGCTGGGGTGTCTCTGCAGTTACTTCATGGAACGCAGATACTCTGCTTTCGCATCGGTATGCTTTTGGCAGATGAGTCTGCGATCAAGTTCTCCCTGGAGAACAAGGGAGCTTCTGGCAAAATGATGTGTCTATTTTGTCAGACTACTGTGCAGGCACGATATGCTCCCACCACGTTGGGAAACCTAGTCCTTCATCATGAGCATGACTGCTCGAAGCTGTGTCTCCATAGCGATCAGTCAGTCTGGGAAGTGGTTGACTATCTGGAATCACAAGCTGGCATTGGGACCAAGAAATCCTTTTCGGAATTGGAAGTTCGTTTGGGCTTCAATCACGCCCCAGGCGGTGTTCTTTTAGACAAACCCATGCGTGATAACTTTCTACCAGTCTCCATGACATGCTTCGACCCGATGCACATATATTTAGTGGCCGGCGTGTTCCATAGAGAGATGACATTGCTATTGCCTCTGCTGGCCAAACTGAAAGTGAAAGAAGCTGACTTACACGACTGGTGTAAATCATTCACGTTTCCAAACATTCATCAGAGTGCTGGGGCCACAGCAAAAAACGTATTTCGCAAGAAGTTCGAAGGCGACTTCAAGGCTGCTGCATCCGAGGTGCTAGCAGTTTACCCGCTGCTGCGCGTGCGGTTCCAAACCATCGACAGGGAGACCATGGGCCACGACTTGGAGATGGCGGTGGATTCCTTTTATCGTCTCTGCGATGTCCTCGATTCCTTGAGACATGCTGCAACCGGCTCCATTTCACCACAGTTGTTGCGTCAGAAGATTGAATTACATTTGCAAGCCTTCAAGGTTTCACGTCGGAAGTTCAATGTGATTCTTTTTGAACGTGTCAAGTGCTTTTTGTTTCGGTATGTTTCGGGATTTGCAAGAAGAAACTCGACACAGAGTTTCTGTGGGTGAGGCTTGTTATGGAGTTGACTCATACTTGCCCAAGCACCACTTCAGCGTTCATCTAGCATTGCAGCTAGAGCGGCATGGGCAGCTCTTGAGCTGCTTCGTTCACGAAAGACGACACAAAACCTTGAAAAGGCACTTGTCGGCCTTTCATTCATTTTTGGGTACAATTTGTGAAAATCCAAGACGTATGCTCTAGTCCCTACCCTGAATACACGACGGCTGAACATGTCAAGCAAGATGGCGAGTGGCAAGACGGATGGCAAACAACTTGGCAAATATGCGAATAAAGCTAGGCAAACTATGTGGCAAACAACTTGGCGAATTGCTTGCCAAGTGGCAAACCGCTTGGCAAACACTTTGGCGAATAACTTGGCAAGTGGCAAACCGCTTGGCAAAGACATTGGCAAACAACTTGGCAAGTGGCAAACCGCTTGGCAAAGACATTGGCAAACAACTTGGCAAGTGGCAATTCGTTTGGCAAAGACATTGGCAAACAACTTGGCAAGTGGTAAATCGCTTGGCAAACAATTTCGCAAGTGGAAACCTGTTTGTTTAGAACAAAATTATATGGCACAAAAATAGTGGCAAGCGGGTGTGAACAGCTACTGAAGTCTGAACGACAGTGAGGTGTTGCATAGCACAACCCGACCCCATTTTCCCAGCAGCGACTGAAGTCTGTGATTCAGTCTGGTGAAGGTTCATGGAGGACAACTATTGGTCTCCCTGCTTGGTGGCGCATTTTGCACCGAAGCTGGCCAAATCTGCCATCATTTTGTCAATGTCGTCTTGCTCTCCCCACTCAGACTCAGTTGCTTCCTCTAAGGAAGTCATCACGGACAGCAACAGGGCCGCAATGATTGTTGCTCCAAAACTTAGCTAGCGGGCAACATAAGCATACAGCATATCATATACAGTATCAGTATCAGTACATCAATTGATGAAACAGTTCAACACAGTTCCAAAAAATATGATAAGCTGACGGGAAACGCATTGCCTGCAAGGTCAGTCAGTTGCTGTTCTGTGAACTTGTCCAAGTGCTCTTCATCATCTGGTTCCACCGCTTGAATCCGCAGCAACTCCCTCCCTGCAACACACCGAATCAACTCACAAAGAAACAAAACTGGACACACATGAACCCTTGCCAAGAAGTAACCATGATTTTGACCTGACCCAAATGACTTTGATATCAATAGTCAATATGAAACAAGGAAAGGAAACTGCTGCAGTCTGCCTAGAAGATACCTCCTGCGCTCCATGTCGAACATCAAGCTACTTGGAAGAATAATAGGTGTGCAGGAGCCAGAAGACACAGCATAGCGGTTTGCAGAGTGGTAGATATCTGCGAACCTCAACTCCTTTTCCGGACGCTTCAATGAATCGTGCTCTGCAAAAGCCAAGACTTCCCTAGCTCTTTGCGGCATGGTCCCCACCCAAGGTGATTCTGCCAAGCGCTCTGATACTTCCACCGGGTAGCTCAAACCGCCTGACATGAAACAGTGGCAACCCCGACTGCCGACCTGTGACTGCCGACGGCCGACCTGTGATTCGCATATGGTCATGACTAGAGACTAGATGATGACCTGTCACTTGCAAACCAGCCACGCTCTGCAGCAATCTGTTGATGCAAAGTAGGCCACTTCTGCTTTGAGGGAACCACTTGTGGAACCTGTGCTTTTTGCTGCAAGCGTTCAAGCTCCTTCTGAACTGGGGCTGAATCATCGGGCAAAAGGAATTCATCCTGAGTGAGTCTGAGTTTCTACTCCCACCGTTGCATGAAAGTTCCGACCACTGAACAAGCCAATGGAGTCAAGATGCAACTGGAGCGGCTGGAATATGCAGGTGTTGAAGATGCAGTACGGCATTTTCCATCACTTGTTCAACTGTGCAACCCAAAAGCTCTTGATTGTTTTGGACAGCAAGAATGAAAAGACGCTGGCGGTTTTGAGGAAGGCCATACCATTGAGAATTGATGAGGAAGGTGTTGCAACAATACTCCAAGCTGCCATCACCATTAGGATTCTCCAAGATCCCGACACAGCAATCAAGGTTGCTTGGCCTCATGGTTGTTGAGCGGTTTCGGTGACTGAGTCATACATACTTACATACAGTACATACAGTATTAATATATTTAATGAATGATGATTAGTATAGTCAGTCTATAGTCTATAGACTATACTATAGTCTATAGTCAGTAAGAATCCTTGCCATCACACCAGTGAGAAAGAAAGTGCTGGCAAGCAGCGTTTCCTCATCCCCATTTGCAGCGAGCCGTGGCACATTTTCCAGGAGCACGATTAGAGGTTGCGTTTCCTTGATGATGTTGATGCACCCGGTAAAAGTCTCGGCTGTGGCTACAGCCTCCAGCGCACGCTAAAGACTCACTCTGAGACTCCGACCATGACTATCGAATCTGAAAACAGCATGCAGCATGCAGCACAGCATAGCATCAATCGAAATGAACCCATCAAATCAAATCTAAACAAGCCTTGTTCTGCTCAACGGCAGAGAGATTCTCGCTGGAGCTGTTGTTGAGGCCAAATACAGATGTGCAAGAAAACCCCGCTGCAAAAACATCAAGAGAATCCGGAAGCGGACAGCAATCCTTGCGCTTGACACATTTGCGCGCATCAGTGTGAATGTTCGTCACATCCTCAGTCAAGCATCCAACAGGAGTGGACTCTGAATGTGGCTTACAACACCTTCATGCTCATCTATGTGACTGTCAAAAGTTCAGTCCTGAAACAAGCAAACAGGGTCATCATCTTCATCGTTGCCAATCAATGGCTCAAGAAACCTTTGCTTGATCCGGTTCTTCTCACACGCCATCTTTGGCCACACCTGCGACATGAACTCGAACCAATGAAAAACACAAATGAGTTCAATATTTTTGATGACAAAACAAAACATATCACTGACCATACCGCTGTACATATAGCCTCACCTGTAACTCAATGCCATACTTCCAAGCCAATGCACCGAAAGCGGCATCCACAGCCATCTCAAACCTGAGTACAGGCTTGAGATTGCACTGCACCATACCGCACCCTCAGATTGAAGCTCAAATGTAAAACAGCAAGGCGACATTCAACCAGGAAACGACCCGCTTCCAGTACAAGCGGAGCCGGTTGCCCACTCACTATGCAATGTCCTCACCCTGCCCTTGATTTGGCACCCATTGTGCTCCCTGTCCCAACGGTCCAGCTTTTCCACCATGGCCTCAATATGTAAAGCTGAAGCTAAAATACTTTCAAATGTCCACAAGACAGATGACCATCAAATGTTCAATTGTGACACTGACACTGACACATATAAATCCTGCAATTTATTGAGTACACATTCAAATGATGTTGTTCTGCTTTTTGTTAAATGCACACTTCTCAGACTCAGGACACAAAAACGTTTGTGGCCAAGTGTCAAGTGCAGCTTTCTCACAAAATTTCAACTTCCGCGATTGCCCTGCTGACTCGAGCTCAATCTTGTACCATTGATCTAGGTCAATCTCAATCTCTTCTGTGCGACCTGCCCAAAGGAACGGGAACAACTGAATGCAGAATGCAGGAAAGGACCAACTAGGCAAGTGCAGCAAACAGCACTCACAACCCTCACCTGAAGTAGCAAAGTCCCCGGTGGCTGTGGCTGTATTGTTAGCAGAGTTGTCATCATTGTCCTTGTCCACACAGTCAGGGGTAACAACATTGTCAGGGTGAGCACTGAGATAGTCAAACCACTCGTCAAGATCTCTAGTAGCATCCTTGGACCCAAAGGAGTAGCCTGTCTCAAATTCTTTGGCCGCCACCTTCGCAGCCATGAAGGCCTTAAAGTGTTTGTGGTCCACAACAGAGTGAACAATTCGCTCAATCTCAGCCTTGCTTTTCTCCGATGGCAAAGAGCTTCGCCATCCATCAACATCACCAGCAATGTCGGCATTAGCGAGCTGCTCCTCAACCTGTGAATCAGATAAGGCTGCATGAACTGATCCAGCAGCCACAGCAGTCATAGCCGCTTCCATGATCACATCCACTTGACCATTCTTCGGCATCCTTGCATCCAGCTCTGCGATGCTTGCAGATCGATGATGCATCCGCTCCAACTCAGAGGCTTCTGGATCAGCATCAGCATCGGCGTCGGACATTTTTTGAGGAGGGCTTGCTGTCTTTGTCTCCTCAGCTGCATTCACTTCAGAGGCTTGTTCTGTTGCCTGAGTTTCTTGGTTGCGAGGAGGACTTGCTATTTGTGTCTCCTCAGCTGCATCATCCAATTGAGTTTCTGGAGGACAGCTTGCTGCACTTGTTCCCTCCAAGACCGCAGCAGCTTGCCCTGATTCTGATTGGACTGGAGTCTGGTGTAAATTTGCCTGGGCATCAACACCAACTTTTTCAGGCAATTCAGCTGATTCAGCCGCAACACTGCCCACAGGGGCGCTTGCACCCTCTCCACCCGAATGAGAGACTGTCTTGGCACCCGATTCACATGCGGCATCATCCTGTTCTTTTTTTCTGTTTCACATGCGGCATCATCCTTTTCTTTTTGTTCTGCTTCGAGTCTTGTCATATTTTTGCTCAGCCAGACTTCGAAGAGAGTGACCTCTGTCTCAGCATCCTTCTCACCCCAAACCCAGTTCTTGTCCAGAGATCGCATGTGAGCAGAGTAGTCGGCGAACAAGAAGTGCTGTTGATACTCTTCCAGCTTGTCTTGAAGCAGTTCCAACTCATCCATTGCAACTTCAAGATCCTCAACAAGTGGATCTGTTGAGTCATTCTCACCATCAAGATCCATGTTTTTGGCTTCAGCACGCCGCTCACTTGTCATGCGGAAGTGCTCCTGAGCTTTCCTGACTAAGGTAGCAATCGACTCAGATGCATCACAAGCAGGGACCTTGTGAGCTGAAAGGAAACTCAGCAAATCAGCTTTCTTTCGTTACTAATTCCAGCCAGCCTTTCAACGGATGGGGGGGGGGGAATTAAAATTATTCCAAACGAAAGTGTAGAGCTGACGCTGCGCGAAGTTGTTACAACCACTCCGTCCATGTATGCCTGTGTAAATAGATGTGTGCTTCACTGCAAGGATGTTCAAACACACTCAATAGAATGCACACACGCCTGATGCATAATTTTGATCAAGTGATTGGGTCTAGGCACTTGAAAGCCATGTCGGGCGGTGTGTCCTCTACCCGTGATGTGTCCTTTGTGAGGGTTCTTCCTGAAGCGCTGTCAGATTCAATGATCTTGAATATCACTGGGCAGAATGTCGTGACCATCGTTGGAGGAAATGTGGCACACCCTTACTTTGACTTCTCTACAAAGATTGCTGCTTCTTTCCTTGTTGTGGATGGCAGTGATGGTAGGGGCAATGCCAATGCCACTAGTCCACCACATCCGGGTGGTGATGACAGTGACTCAGACGATTCAAGCGATTCGAATCCTGGTGGCTGTACTTGTGGCCAACACAACTGTCCAAATGCACATGCGCCTAGTATGAGCACGGCAGCGGCTACAACTTTGAAAGTGAAGCGGGTTAGAAAACACAAGAAAGGTAGGGGTAGGAAGGCACAAGGTTCATCCAACCCAAACCGTACTCAGTCCAAGTCCAAGGATGAATCTTTTTTTCTTCTGGACGCTCAAAGTTGAGCAAGCTGAAGAAATTCAATTCTGCATCCAATGCATCACTTAGCAAAAGCCACCAGGTGCACTAGATTGCTTTATTTGTGTAGGCAGGCATTGTACAGAGGAGTATAGATCTTAATGCCAAATTGCTGACTCTATCTCAACGTTGTTTACAGAAAGTCTATCGGGCTTTGAGTTTGCAACAAACTCAAGCTCACCACTCAACTAAGTGGGCGTGCTAGAGGGTGCCGCGCATTTTGGAGTGACAATCCAATTGAGAGAGAAACCATGAGATATAGATTTTAGAATAAATGTCAACACACCACTGACACACACATGCACCAGCATAGAACTATTAGTTGTGTTTGGAACTTGCAAGTTCGGACGATTTGCAGCCTTGCAGCTGTGACACTGATTACTTTTGCGCTCTCACCGTAGCTTTGTGGCACTGTGCTTTTGTTGACAGAATATGTCAGGCTCAGGGTTGATGGACGCCAAATGAAATCGACAAAGAGGAAATCTAGGCTTCCTGTCCAACTACCTTGTCTACCATGTTTGTGGGGTCTGCAGTGCATTGATGGTGTCTACAGCAAGCTTGTAGTGACGTTGCGTACTTCTGAAGCTCCAGGTGCAGCACAGGCACTAGCAAGATTTGGAAGAACAATGACCTTTGTTGGAGATATGCATCCTACAGTGACATCAATTCTTACTGCTGTGGGGTTTGAAGGGCATCGAAACTACTCACGCATTCCACTAGGAGATCTACAGAATCTTCTTGTGGCCTTGCCAGGCATGTCATTTATCGATGACTTGAGTCAACAGTGGACAATAGACCAACTTGAGGATATTTTTGGTACCTGCCCTATTCGTTCAACCAACGAGGCCTTCACTACCCGCAGTGTGATCTTCAACTTTGGCGCCAAAATTTTTCCACCGCTTGAAACTACTGCCACCCAGGCAAATGCAGGACTAATAGATGCAATGAACATGATTACTTCTGGTGAGGAGCAACCTCAAGCTGTAGAGGTGTTTGAAAAGGGCCGGCAGAATACTAGTGAACCAACCACAAAGATTGGCGCGCTGTTTGAATCATTGAGATCTTTCCTGTCACAGAATGACATAACGAAAGCTATTGAGATTGTGGACGAGCTTGAACCACTCATAACAGTTTCTTAGAGCTATTTGGGTCGGTATTGTAAGCTTTTGACTTTGCTGTTTGGACTGATATATATGTGTTCTCAAGTTCTCAAGCCATGAAACAATCATTCATTATGGTTTTGAGAGCCAAAGCAAGTTCTAGGTTTCGTCTGGGACTACTTCCCGGCTTCTACAGGACGGAGACAAATCCAAAAACATTGGGGGCTTCATGTACACCAGTGAATACTTACTGGATTGTGTTCTTCTATGTGATGCTTTGCGGGAGCCTTCTCTGTTGCGTGAGGTTGTGGGGAGGTGTCTGATGGTGAGTTTGAAGCCAGATCTTGTCAGGCATTTGTTGAAAGAGATGAAGCACAAGCGTCTACCCAGTGCATCCTTGTTATATGATGCACGTATCAATCTGGACATGTGTTCAATGCTGTATGCAAGGCAGTACCTGTTCAATGAAGCGGTGAACCGTCAACACCCATGGGTGTGCCATGTGAGATGTGATTCAAGCCCTCAATTTGGGCGGGGCTATTTAGTCACACAGGTGGACTATGTTCTTCTTGGTGAGAATTACATCCATACATCAATCACAAAACGACTCATGCCACTGCAATGTGTTGGATCACGATCTGGCAGCGCTGCCCACAAGCTGGAAAAAATCAAGTTTTGCATTGGGCTAGAATCTGATGATATTGCATTCACTGCTGATCGTGTATGTTCTATCCTCACAGACTTTGGCACAGAGTCTTGCTTATGGTTCACCCCAAGCAGCTCAAGTGGTGATGGATTAGATGTTGATGATGTTGCTTCTGCTGAAGACTTACTGATGTTCAAATATGGACTTCCTCTTCCAGATGCTGACCACGCCTTGCATCATGTAATGCTTTGCATCACTGAGCATTTTGCCTTTGATGAGCAGTTCCATGATCAGCTGAATGCTGTGTCCAGATGGTTTAGCAACCGGGACCGCTGCGACAGATTCATAGCGAAATGCATTCTGCAGAACACCAACATCACAAATCCAAAACTGAAGTCCAGCTTTGCTGCTATGTATAGATCTACCTGCCCTACTCTGGTGACAACACGGTGGAGCTATTTGTACGATGTGCTTGAGTGGTTGATTCCAAGGCAGCAATCACTAACATATTTGCTCACAGATATCAAGTCAAGATCTGGCAAGAAACATGACAACTTTGCAGAGTTTACTGAAAAAGAAATGAATATGATAGAAGTTGTTGCTGATCCGTCAAACAAGAAGTTTGCATTGTTTTGGGCATCTTGTTGTCTCTCGTTCCAATTGGCCAAGTGGGGCGCTGAAATGTCAAGCTTTTTCCACTCGTGCCCTATCAGTTCGCATGATTGGAGCCCACTACGTTCCTCTTGCTCTAATTGTTGTTGGAAAGGTCGTTTGGGTAGCAAACTCGCGCAAGGTGTATGGCTGGACAAATTCAGCAAAGAACTCTTGAATTTGCCAGTATCTGGTGCTGATACATGGTTGGAAAAGCTACCTCAAGACAAGAAACAGTGGTTGATTCAAGAATTCCAGGCTAGCAAGGTCAAAATGGCACAACGGTTTCTGCAGGTGTTTGAGTCTGGCGACTCCTTCCCTGGAGGCTTTTGGCTTTGTCGTGTGTATTGTTCTGTGATCCTGACCTGCCGTTGGACATTCGAAACGCTTATGTTCAAGCGTCCAAGCAATATTGCCAGGAGGCTTTGACCACATGGAACACAAAGGGCAATAGCAATGACCGCCAGTTCTCCCATTTTATTACACGCAAGTTCTTGGATGCTACTTTTCCAAACAACTTGAGAGCTGATATGGAGTGGTGGGTTGGAACACAGTCCACAAACATGCCAACTGCATTAGCACAGGAGTTGATGGCATATGCATCTGCCCTAAGTGTTATGCAAAGCCTTGAAGGACAGCATCATTATCTACATGTGCACCAAGGAGCAGCCAGAGCGTCATTGCCAGCAAGCCTTTGTGCAGCATTGCGACGCCGTGTGAACCCAGATTTGCGGGACCCAAGATTTCGGCAAAACCTTGAGAAGTACTTGAAGCACATACCTCGGTTGGTGGTCTGTGATTGGGACAGCAGAAAAGATCTCATCCGTCATGTCTATGGTTTTTCACTAGACACTTTGCATGGAGATGTGTCTGCAACAGGGCATCAGTTGGATTTGGCAAAATGTGCACTGAAAGAGGCACATGCTTCCCAATCAACTAGCATTTCTGCTGCAGGAGACAGAGAGAAAACTATTCAAACGGAGCATCTGAACCAAAGAATGGTTGAAGGAAGCTTCTACAGGGTTCGGACTAGTGGAAGGTTTATTGCTTTTCAGTGCATTTGCCTACACCCAACCAAGCGTTCCTATGTACAAAAGGTTTGTCATATGGGCAAAGATATTTGGAAAGATTCTGTGGCAGTTCTTGTGTGTGGGGCGGCTGACAATGCGCAAGCCTTGGGCACAATTGAGTGTCAGTTGCCAGGCTGTGGTATTTGTTTCATACTGGCTTGTTTCATATGTGAGTAGAGCTTGAACTATGTACAAGTCGTTACCGCCCAGTAAAGTAGGATGCACAAAAGTTTCACAAAGTCACCAAACTAGGTTGAACCTCTTGGATATTGTGCCAATGAATTGCTACAAGCTTTTTGAGCAGAATGATATTCAATTTTTGGAGGAATACACGCAGGTGGCTCGCCTAAACTGTGCAGCAGTCTTCTTTGCAACTTGAAACTTTGAATCTTGCTGCATAAGGGTTTTTGTTGAGGTTTCTTACCAACAAGTTTGGGATGACTCGGTTACAGATCGTCTTCTTGAAATGATGGACTGCAATCTCTCATCAACTGATGTGTGACTTTGCTGCCATTCAAACAAGCCAACTGGAAGATTGTTATGCAGTTTCCATTTTGTTGAGGCAACCATACATTTCTTGTTGTTGCTTGAGGTGTTCCATATGCACTATCGGCAAAGCTGCTGCAGAATCTCCAGGAGGAACAGTGCCGGCGTCTGTGATAGATGAGTGTCGTTCCGAAGTTGATATGATGCACAAGCATG